ACAAGTAGCAAAGCCCGGCCAGCATCAAGATACTTATTATCTAAATGGAGAGTGAAGTTTGGAATGTGAAAGCGTTTCCACACCTTTCAACAAGTGCTGCGCAGCCGTCACATCAGGGGCCATTGAAACCACACAGGCGTCGATGTTGTAGGTGGAGTTCCCGATTGGACTACTGTTATCTAATGTATTCCTTAAAATTCCTTTATAAATCCTTAAAAGTTCTTGGTTAGACTACTGCTATCTAATGTATTCTAACTCATGTAGTCATGTAGACGTTGTGCACTCAGGCAGTGGCAGGCTCCGGAGCTGCCTCACAGGCACCTGTGCAGTGCTGGCCCAAAGCCAGGAAACTCCTTGGCAGCATCTAAGACAAGGAATGACAAGGATATGAGGTAAACAGAATGAAAGAATAATTACAGGATCAAAGACATCTGGAATCAGCTAGAATCTAGGACTATACAAGAGCGGCCATGCCCTCTGCAATGGCAATGCTGCCCAGACTCTATAGCATGCGCCCAAAGAAAGTTTGACAAGGCTACGGGCCCTTCTGCCTCTTGGTGTCGTGGTCGTACGAAAAAACATGACCTCCATCAATGTGGCGGCAAACATGTGCTTTACATTGCACATAAATATATATATATATAATGTAATGTAATGTAATGTAATAAAATATAATATAATATAATATAATATAATATAATATGATATGATATGATATAATATGAAAAACTAGAATATAACATACCAAAATATAATTTAATATAATATGATATGATGTGATATAATTTACTGTAATATATTTTAATATATATATATATTAAAAATAGAATACAATATAACATAAAATAATATAATATATGTGAAAGAGTTGTGCTCTTTCTGTGTGCGTGTAGATGCACTCAACAGTGATCGTATGGTTCTCAATGTCCTATCCCAGTGAGTCAACGGGAACGCCCCTTTTCCATCAGACTGAGAGGTCGGCGGTCTTAAGCCGGCATTGGCCGACTTGAGCCAAACGGCGGGGTGAGCGAAGCTATGACGACTGCTGTACATGAATGGTCCCTGCTACCTGCATTCCAATCACACCCCCCATGCCCGGCATCCCTTGGTCGTGGTAGATTTACCTCCGACCAGGGTGCCGAGCACAGGAGCAAGCGCCAGATTAAAATTTGGAATATGCATTTGCTCACCCGCCAATTACTCGCAGCTTTGTGTATATAACGCGGTTTCGTCGCTCCGGGATTGCGTACTAACCGTGGTAGACATACCTCCGGTGTTCCGCGCACCCTTCGAATTACGCCGCATCTGTAAGGTTTCCTACCTTGGTTCATACGCCCTTGAAATTTTTATCCCTTGCATCAGGAAAACTTCGTATCCTGAAAGCATAGGATTCATATGAATTAGCCCGGCACTCAGAATCCTCTCAATTGTGCTCTTCAATGGTGTAGGCCATGATGATTTCATTCTTTGCGCCGTTTCTTTTGCTTCCCGGACTCCTTTGCACTCGATGAAGCCCGTTCTTCTGTGGGTTGTGCGTCACCAATTGCTCGAACGTACTCTCTTGCGTTCTCACGTTCGGCAGGATCAAGTGACCTGAGGCATGCCGCCATCTGCGTAGCGCTCTGTTGAACGGCTTTGAGCTTCCCTTGCCAAATCCTTTGTAGTTGTTGGGGTAGATCCAATCCGATCTTGTTGAGCGTCACAAGGATGGTGAAGGTTCTAGACCTCTCCGTCACTGCGCATGCCAACTCCACAGGGTCGATGTGAATATGATCATCTCGTTGAGGTGGTGTCACTCTGAAGTAATCGTAGGATCGCACGGCGAAGGCACCGGAGATGATCTTTCTGACGAAGTCGGATGCCTCCCGTCGAACCTCTTGTTGTCGTTCTTCATGTTCATCTGTGACGTCGGCGATCTTGGAATAGATGAGTTGTGGAGTGATCCCAATCTGGACGAGGTACTTCATGATTTTGCAAAGTACTCTGATGCCGTTCACCCCTTTCAGGTAAACTTCCAGTTCCCTTCCACCGATTTTGCCGTTCTTGGCGTCCGTGGGTTCCTTCAGTTCGCCTTCCGCAATCTCGCCTACATAGGGGATGTACCCATCAAATTCCGGCAGGAGCTTGATCTTCCTGACGTGATCGTAGTACTGCTGCGCGGGCGCCATTGATGTCCAGATGTGGTAGAGCCTGTATCAATCCTTCAGGTATGTGAGAATCATCCCGTCTATTGCTGTCGATGGCATCTTCGTTCTGAGCAATGTCGATACATTGGATGATGGAAGCTTGGATCGTTCTCGCCGTCCACAATGGCAGCTTGATCTTCGCTTCTTGCCGCTCTTCATCCTGCTCTTGTTCTTGGGCAACTCGTTCATCTTCTTCCTCTTGTTGTTCTTTGGTGTTGTTGCCGAACGCGACCTTCTGATCAGGAGCGGTACTTTGTCGGTCGCCCTCAGACCTGGTTTGTTCACGACTCGGCTTTGCGTCTGTCATGTCAACATCATCGTCCGGAGTCTCCTCAGTGTTCTTCTTCGACTCCCTGACCAGTCGATCGATCTCCTCTTGGTCCTCATTCTCCATCTCGACGTCCTCGTCATCATCACCAGTGCCATCTCCACTTTCTTGGCGTTCTCGTTCTGGCATGCCCGGGGCGGTGCTTTCATCTTGTTCCGCTTCTTTCTCCCCCCAGCTTACCAACGAACCGTGGCATCTGACGCAGATGGACAGAATGTTTGGAGTCTCAGTGAGACATGCTGGGCATACCGTACCATGTGTCCAGCTTCTCTTGGAGTGTAGTTCTCGGAGATGAATGTCACGATGTCGTTTCTCAGCTCGCTGTTGGGGCTGAGGACTCCATTGGCTGATTCGAGCTTCGCAACATCCTCGACAAACTTGTCATAGAACGGAATGTTGTCCTCGCTGCTGATGTCGTTCAGCAAAGCCTTGGAGACACGTAGCACCGTGTTCTCCATCCGTTCTTGACATGATCTCACCAATTGGAACTTTCCGGAATCGACTAGAAGTCGTTCCCATTCATAAGAGTTGGCCTGGTACCAAGCTGCGATCACCTCGGAGAAAGGAATGTTCCCACTAACCACCATTTGCCATCATTTGCCCAGACGCGTTGATCATGACTCCAAGACTCATGAGTCGATGAACGCTGAATGCCAGGACCATGCGGGGTTGTCCTAGGTGTGTCAGTTTTCCCCCGAGAATTTCCCTGTATCGCTTGTCCCATGGCACAAATGGGTTGAGGAACACTTGTGTTCGTCCTCCTCTGTGACCACCAGGTCGTAGGCCTTCCTTGATGATGCCGATCACATTCTTGAACTCGGTCACGTGATAACAAAAACATAGATCATCTGCGATCTTGGTTGTGATCGGGTGACAAATCTTGCTGATAGTCAAGGCGAAAGTCGCTTCCACGGGCTGAAAATCCTCCAGGAGAACGCACAGCAATGGGCGCTAGGACTAGGAAGACCTCACCACGTTGGGCGATGATTTCATGGATATCATCACCGACCTTCATGACATTCTTGAGGTAGTCGTCAGGCTTGTCGAACGTGGAATCAAGAACGATGCACAGGAACTGGATGCGGACTTTGTTCTTCTCTTGGAACTCTGACCAAACAGTTTTGATCATAGTGTTGACGCGCTCCTCTCTGAAGTCAATGCCAACAAGTCCATCATCCTCGGTGCGGACGTTCTCGTGTTCGAAGATCCATGGGTGGTGTAGGAATTCCATGATGTCCACCCAACCGGCTTCATCACATTTAATTTGAGTCTGGAGAATGTCGTTCTCCTTCCGCCACTGGTTCTCTCCCACACTTCACCTCGTCCGATGTGGTGTCGCAGGGCTTTGTTGAAGTAGTAGCTGTAGGTCCTCTCCCAGCTCTCCATGTGAACTCGATTCGTATTGAATTCGGTCGGCAATGCATACTCCACTCCATGTCCAGCATAGCCGCTAGAGTAGAATTTGCCGCCATTGACCGGGAGGATCTTAAGCTTCCCAATGTCGGTTCCGACCATGAGCTTCTTGTACATGCATCTTGTTGTCGGAGAGTGCCATAGCCGATCTCATCTCCTTGCATGTCATAGTGATGCCCTTCTGACTTGCCGTGTCGACGATGTGGTTCAGTTCGTCCTTTGTCATGGGGCCCTTTTCCTCGGCTTTGACTCCGTTGATGCTCTTCTCTCCGTGAGCTCGATCTCCAATCACTGACAATGGGATTGCCTGGAGGTACATGTACTCTCCTGCCCTGGTGGCCTTGTAGTTCTCTTGGCGGAAACGTTGCTCCTCTTCTTCATCTCTTTTGGGAGCTTCTTCATCTTCGACATCGTCGCCTTGTAACTTCTTCCTCAAGTTGATCAAAGCAGATTTCACTTGATCACTACCTTGTTCGGGACATTCGTAATTGGGATGTCCACTTTCACCACACTTCAGGCAAACGTTGTTGTCGTCTGCCAGGGCAAAGAGCGCATCAATGGCCTCGATGATGGCACCCTTGTCCTGAGATATCTGGAACTCCTCCTCAGGGTTTGATGGAGACTTGGTCGCGTCGTGCATGTCCGGAGTGGTAGATGTACCTGCTCCTTCGGCACTTGCTTCCGCGCCTCCGGTCGTCGGTTCCGGGGCGGCAGACGTACCTTCCCCGGTCCCTTGACCTTCGGGTTCCATGTCGTCATCGTTGACATCATCGGCCTTGGATCTCTTGTAGTTCTCATTGATGACGCTGATCTCCTTGTCCCCAATCAAACAAGCATGTTGCAGGCCGTGGTACATCGGGATGTCACGTAGGACTGAATTCACTACAGCCTCCTCATGGTTCGTGGGCTCTGTGACTCTCGGTCCACCTCTTTTGGTATTTGGAGTTGTGGTAGATCTTGTCGTCCCATGGAAGATGTTGATCGATGCTTTTCCAGGCCTGCGAGCAGTTCGTCACCTGGATCGGCCCTTGTTTCCATGAACGTGATCTGGGACTTCGTCATGTTGGCCAAATCTAACATGCCAAGCCACATTTCGACCACGTCACCGCATTTCTCGGCCGCAGCATCAGCATAGCCCATGCATCTGTGAAATCATCTCCGAGTACCATCTTGAGATAGTCCTTGTAGAAGACATTCCCATAGTCCTTTGAGACGCGATATGCAAATCGCTCATGGGCTTCCGTACCATCATCCAACATGAACTCTTCTGGGATGACGCTGTATTGTCTTCCCCGTTTCCCAGTGAAGATCTGCTTCACGCGGTCCCTGGGAACTCTGACCATCCCGAAGTGCAACAACGCCTTCATAAGGATCTCACCGTGTTCGCACCCCTTGTTGCCCACCATTGCTTTGGTGATGTCCTTAAGAAACTGCACGAAATCCTTCTGAGGGTCAGTGACGACATTGCCTGCATCTGACATGATGTTGAAGAATGCACGGGACCTTGCCGCTGTTTTGATGATCGTCTTTCTCTGGTACTCCGGCGGCCAAAGTTGGTAGTCCCTCTCGCTTGCGCGGCAAGCGATGCATTCTTTTCCACATCCGAAGTCCTGATTCATGAAGTCGTGTGGTGTGGTTTCGTCATCACGTCCATTGAAATGCCTTTGGCATAAAATCACCTCATCGCGTCCATGGTTGACGTAGAACCACATGTCGTACATGTTGGCCGATGGTTCTGGAAGAACCGACCTCACTGTGGCTTCAATCCATGGCGCCTTCTCATATTCAACATTCATTCTTCTTCCACCTCCAACAGTACCTGGGCAATTAAATCCAGTGCTTGCAGTATCTGGTACTCCACCTCCTGTTCCGATTTGGATCGAAAGAGGCTCCTTGAGCACCTTCTCCATCAGATCCATGTTGATGCCAACCTTCATGGAAGATTCCTTCACCATGTCGTTCAATCCTTTTGCAGCTTCAACATTCAGGGAACACATCAACAGTACCCTTTGTCCGAATAAGAACTTTTCCATGGTTGCGAAAACTCCCAATCGGTCAGGTCTGTGGTTGTTCATGTAGTGATTCCCGGCATGACCATACATCAATCGCCACATCCCATCATCAGTTGTGACCATGATACCAAAGCTCCTCAGGATGTCCGCTGAGTCCATGGCGACGTCCTGGATGCCTGATCGGATACCATGAAATCTGGGGTCCTTGCAGAGCAACACAAAGATGGGTCTTGTCGCCAGTCGACACTTCGGATTGCCTCAGCAAATCTCTCTGCAAAATTCCCTTCAACCCATACATGGTAAGGATGGGTGTCTGTGATGAGGAACGCAAATGATACCCAAAAATTGATAGTCACATTCTCCTCGGCTGCGAGGTCTGGCATCACATCCTTCTTCAAGTGGTCGACTGCATCTAGGAACTTTTGGGCCCTCGTCACGCTTCTGAAACTGTTGATGTCGATGACCGTGGCGGTGTATCCCAACTCGTCGAGCCCATATTGAATGTTCGTTGTTCCTTTGGCATTCGAGTCACACTTGTAGACGAGGTCAGTGACCAAGATGGTCTTGCCGAATCTGAACTTTCCTGCCAATTCATCCTTCTCCTTTCTCACCGATGGCTTTTCCACAATGTTTCCGCCGATGCCCGACATCAGACCTCGCTTCCACTTGTCGTAGTTCGATCGGTGGCTTGCATGCCGTCGTTCATGTCAATCATGACCGTCATGGACCCAACTGACAGATAGTAGTTCTGGTGAATCATCCCCCACGTTTCAGAGCTGCGTTGTAGATCCTCAGCCATTCCATGTCGCTGAATGGATAGGAAGCTTCACCTAGCCTATCTCTCTGGCGTTGGCAAGTCCAAAGCATAGGCAGGTGTACGTGGCCACCCTTCTAAGGTATTGGCGCCACGTCGACTGTGCGCTGTTCGCCATTGGCCCTTGAACGTGCGACAAGGCAAACTCATTCTCGGTGCCCACATGAACGTTCAAGATCGATCTCACCTGGGTGCCCGTGTAGTCTGTCCACAAGGTCTTAGAGTTGATCAAGAATCAGGAGGAGCTGAACACAGGGGCCAAAAGGTTCTTAGACAAATGCGCCACCTACATGAAGACCTTTGTCCAACTGGCATCTCGGAACAATCACAAAGTTCTTGGATTCTGCACATCTGAGTGCATCAACGGACTGGGAAACATGTGGGAGTACATCAAGAATTTCAATGTACCTCATCCCATCCGAAATGATGGAGCGTTCACGGTATCAATGCTACGTGATCACCTTCGAGAGTTCAAGCTTCGACCCTATGGAGGTGACCTACGAGGTGTGAACCAATCAGTCCCAGCCGAGAATGTAAATGTATCTTGCTGCCTCGGAGCTGGTGGACGAGGACTGGAGATCCAGGCGACCCGATGGCTCAGTTGGTATGGCGTTGGTCTTGCCAGCGCTGACAGACTGCCGGTGGTGGTTCGAACCCCTGCTGGTCCACTCGGGAGTCTCAAGTGCGACCCGCCGAAAGGCAACGGGCGCCGACAAAAAAAAAAGGACGAGGACTGGAGATCCATTGTAGGAAACACACAGCCACAAAGGCGAGTGCACATACAGGTACTCCCGATCAATTGAGCACGGAAAAATCCACTTGCCGTGAGGCGGTGTTCACGACTGTGTGAAACTAATGCTGCTGTGACCTCCTGGGTTAGTCGCAGCTTCGACTTCTGCGCGATCACCAGTCTATATCTCCTTAGAGAGCGCACTCCATTGAGCATCACAACCATGGCAACTGCAAGTGGTTTATCCTGCGACGTAAAAGGCGTGTCAAGTCCCCCCTCTAAGACAGCTTCTACACCGAGGGTTCTCGCGTGGGCGTATGGTACAGGACTTGTCTGTTTTTTAGGGTATGGTATCCATAGTGATAGACCGCCAACGTTTGAGCCATTCCAATCATCCCAGCCATGTCTATGGGGGAGACAATGTAGATGTGTCGGATTGCTCTTGTCAGCGCCACTGTGGCCCTACCATAACAATCTTCCCTGTCTTCCAGGGAGGCACCTCGACGCCCACCGCTAAGAAATCCACACCCCGTCTGGACAACCACTGCAATTCGGGCGGTTGTACCCGCCGCTGAGGAGGTTGCAGCCATTCTGAGCCCTCCAAACCATGCTGCCTGAAAACCATGCTGCAGAAGCTGGTTATGCACAGCCGTGCGATTGCACATCACCAGGAGCTGCGCTGTTGCTCCTTGGCTAAGATCCCGATGATACTTTTGACACTGAATCGCTCTGAGGCGACCCGATGGCTCAGTTGGTATGGCGTTGGTCTTGCCAGCGCTGACAGACTGCCGGTGGTGGTTCGAATCCCTGCTGGTCCACTCGGGAGTCTCAAGTGCGACCCGCCGAAAGGCAACGGGCGCCGACCACAAAAACGAGCACAGAATCGCTCTGGTGATTATCTTCCCCCTGCCCGGCTTGCAAAGCTTATTGCTCTCTTGTGACCGGATGCGAGCCAGGATAATGACTCTGATGTTCGTAAAACTTTGCCACACAAAGTTAGATCGCGAAAACCGCTTTCAAACCTCTCGTGCTCAAAGTAAACCCAAACCAAAACACAAACAAACGGTGATCGTTTCGCGTTTCTGCAGTAGCGACTCTCCCAGGCCGTCTCACGGCGACACACTCACACACTTTTCGCTCTCGCAGGCTTGAGCCAACGTTCACGTTGGTAAACACAGTTCAGAACACAGAAACTAAGTGAGTTTCTGTGGGTAAAGCAAACTGGATTCCGGTCCAGTCAAGGAGATTCCAAAATCTCTACAAACTTAATTGTGCAAAAACTATTCTACCAATCTAGAAACGTGCAAAACAGGTTTCTCGGTTCCTAAAAACCTAAGATTGGTTTCGTGCAGTTTGGTTCTCGTGTGGAATACCCTACAACGTGCAGAAAACCTAAAAACGGCTAACTACAAACGAAAAATGGCATCTCCGTCACAACTCTTTGTGACGGAATGAGATGAGATCGATTAACTACATCACAATCACCTGCTAACTACAAAACAAAGTCCAAACTACGCAAGTCCACAAACTACAACTACAAAGCAACTAACAACTACCTAAGTTCAAGCACAAGATCGCTACGCTAGCTATACATAGGATGATTTTTCACACCCCCTTTCGAACTTGTGCGACTCAAATTCAAAACGAATTCAGTCACTCGGCCTTGACATTCCTCATGCCATAGCAGATAGGGCATGCTAACAGCGTCATCTGCTTTGACTTCTCCGTTGTACGGCAACCTGAACAGTGATACTTCGATCCTGATGAAGTCACAACCAACAAGGGTCCAGTCTCTGGCTGGCAAACCTGGCAATTGTCTCGGCATCGAATATGTCCATTTGGACCAGCGGCTGCAATCAAAACCTTGCATTTCTCTTCGCAGTGATACATCTCTCGGCAAAAACTCCAATAGATACGAGTACCTGGGCCTTCACCGTCAGAGTCACCAGACAAAGCTGTAGAACTATTCATAGCTGTACCTGAATTTCTTGCAGTTGTATTGCGGCTTTTGCAACATCTCGTAATGCAGTAAGCTGAAAGAATACCAGATAGAAAACCCAGTGTATATACAAAGAATAAGAGCCAGTAGAGCTCTTCCATCTCTCCAGTGGCCATGGCTTGCGCGACCTGCCCACACACACAAATGGCTGCGGAAATCCAATCAAGCTCACGCTGAAATCCATTCCAAGCAGTCCACAAACATTCCAAAGACAGTCCATCAAGGAAAGTCCACAGAAAATCCAAGAAAGTCCAAAGATCATCCTCTCGATGTCTTCTAAAGACTTCTGCAACTCTTGCAATTCAAATTGGATTCTGAACTATATCATGCAATCGTCAGACCTCAAAGTCTCGATAATTAGATCCGACTACCCAAGCAACGCACAGGGCAATGATCAAAGAGAGTTTCAGCCTCATGTCCTAGACATTTAGAGACCTTTCTCTATCCAAATGACTTCACAAGTCGTTCAAGTTATCCAACATTTCACAAGTCCACTCATGCAGTAGACTCTTCCTTTTTCCTCAGGGAAGATCAGGCGATAAAATCAGCGTGGCTTCGACGCCATCGATCACCTGAGGGCAAGTAATGCGAGCATCCGCACAAAAAATCTGGCAAACTTCCTGGAGTATTTTTCTGACAAATGAAAGTCAGAAAAGTTGAATGATGCGTGGAAATCACAAGCACAATGAAAACGCTTCTCAAGACGTTGACTAAGCTCCTCAGAACTTGACATGATCCTGAACGCTTTCTTGATGGGTAATCTGGCAGTCCTTCAATTCCCATTGCACAAGCATGGACAACAGACCTGAATGGAATTCTGGCCTGAACAAAGGCTTGCAGCTTCGGATGAGTCCAGTACCTGTTGGAATTTGGCAATTCAAATGTTGGAATTTGGCAATTCAAAAGACATGAGCAACTCGGGATGTCTTTCTACTAACCTATCCAACAACTTTTCACAAGCGGCTAGAAGTTCCAAAAACTTTCGCTCATGCTCTGGGACTCTTTTTGCTCCCGAAAAATTCTGCAATGGAGATCCACCTGTGCATGGCAATGACATGTGAACGTGACAGAACAAATGTACCTCTCCCAGCTCTCGATCAGAGGCTGATCTGGTCATCTTCAAGTCCTCCATCACCTGGTTCACAAGATCTGCAACATGATTCTGTGTAGCTACCTTCTCAAGATTTCCATGAACTCCAACATAACAAGCACGGCTCTCAGCGCATGCAGCTGACAAGACACTGGCTTTGCTGCAGGCTAGCTCAACAAAAAGACCTACCCCCCTTTCACTCTTGAAATGGGTCACATCAGCTTCTGAAGAACTCGAACCTGAAATTGCAGACAAAACACTGGCCGTTGCTCCAGCTCGGGCAGCTGCATTCGCAGTTGCTGCTGACGCTGTTGACGATGTCAACAACCTGAACAACCTCCGATTCGCTCGCATCGAAAGTTCTCCACTGCCATGACATGCTATGCAGGCTTCCATACGGCGCTGGGGCGGTCTCCCTGATGTCTCAGAAGGCTCTGGCGGGGCCTCACTGGCCGGTGCCTTTGCAACTGGGGCTCTTGAAATCATAGACATACTGTACCCTGATGAAGGGGCAATTGTCTCAGCTTCCAGTGCTCCTCCTGGGCCAACTCTGAATGGCCTATGGGGCGGCTCACCCACAAGCGACGCTGCTTTCGCTTCAGGGCTCCTCGGAGTAATCAAATCCACAGTTGGTGCTGCCTTTGCGGGGCTCGCCTTAGGCGATGTGGGCTCTCCACATTTCGCCTTTGGAGGCGTCTTGGGTGGCGTCTTTGGCGCACTTGAAACTCTTGCTGGAGCTGGTGGTGGCGGTGGTACCTGAGGTGGCGCCGGAGGCGCTGGCGGTGGTGGTAGTGGGCCTTTGGCTGGAGAAGGCTTCGCTGGAGGGGCCTTCCCAGAGATGGGTGGTGCTGGTGGTTGCTGTGGCCCTTGCGGAACCCACCCCTTCGGCGGGTGTGCAGGCGGCTTCGGACCCAACGCCACTGCCGCATTGCTGCTGGCCGGAAACTGGCCGCTCCTCTTCGGTGGCGTCTGAGGGGGACCCATCCCAATCCTCTGACGGGCTCTTGGAGGGCTACC